TCCTTGTTAACTTTCTGTCTCGTGGATCTGTCTAATGTTGACAGTGGGGTGTAAAGTCTCCCATTATTATTGTGTGGGAGTCTAACTCTCTTTGTAGGTATCTAAAGACTTGCTTTGTGAATCTGGGTGCTCCTGTATTGGGTGCCTGTATATTTAGGATAGTTAGCTCTTCTTGTCGAATTGATCCCTTTACCATTATGTAATGGCCTTCTTTGTCTCTTTTGATCTTTGTTGGTTTAAAGTCTGTTTTATCAGAGACTAGGATTGCAACCCCTGCTTTTTTTTGCTTTCCATTTGCTTGGTAGATCTTCCTCCATCCCTTTATTTTGAGCCTATGTGTGTCTCTGCGTGTGAGATGGATCTCCTGAGTACAGCACACTGATGAGTCTTGACTCTTGATCTAATTTGCCAGTCTGTATCTTTTAATTGGAGCATTTAGCCCATTTACATTTAAGGTTAATATTGTTATATGTGAATTTGATCCTGTCATTATGATGTTAGCTGGTTATTTTGCTTGTTAGTTGATGCAGTTTCTTCCTAACATCGATGGTCTTTACATTTTCGCATGTTTTTGCAGTGGCTGGTACTGGTTGTTCCTCTCCAGGTTTAGTGCTTCCTTCAGGAGCTCTTGTAAGGCAGGCCTGGTGGTGACAAAATCTCTCAGCATTTGCTTGTCTGTAAAGGATTTTATTTCTCCTTCACTTACGAAGCTTAGTTTGGCTGGATATGAAATTCTGGGTTGAAAATTCTTTAAGAATGTTGAATATTGGCCCCCACTCTCTTCTGGCTTGTAGAGTTTCTGCTGAGAGATCTGCTGTTAGTCTGATGGGCTTCCCTTTGTGGGTAACCCAACCTTTCTCTTTGGCTGCCCTTAACATTTTTTCCTTCATTTCAACTTTGGTGAATCTGACAATTATGTGTCTTGGAGTTACTCTTCTCAAGGAGTATCATTGTGGTGTTCTCTGTATTTCCTGAATTTGGATGTTGGCCTGCCTTGCTAGGTTGGGGAAGTTCTCCTGGATAATATCCTGAAGAGTATTTTCCAACTTGGTTCCATTCTCTCCGTCACTTTCAGGTACACCAATCAGACATAGATATGGTCTTTTCACATAGTCCCATATTTCTTGGAGAAATGTTCGTTTCTTTTTACTCTTTTTTCTCTAAACTTCTCGCTTCATTTCATTCATTTGATCTTCAATCACTGATACCCTTTCTTCCAGTTGATTGAATCGGTTACCGAAGCTTGTGCATGCGTCACCTAGTTCTCGTGCCATGGTTTTCAGCTCCATCAGGCCAGTTAAGGACTTCTCTACACTGGTTATTCTAGTTAGCCATTTGTCTAATCTTTTTTCAAGGTTTTTAGCTTCTTTGCGATGGGTTCAAACTTTCTCCTTTAGCATGGAGAAGTTTGATCATCTGAAGCCTTCTTCTCTCAACTTGTCAAAGTCATTCTCCATCCAGCTTTGTTCTGTTGCTGGCGAGGAGCTGCATTCCTTTGGAGGAGAGGAGGTGCTCTGATTTTTAGAATTTTCAACTTTTCTGCTCTGGTTTCTCTCCATCTTTGTGGTTTTATCTACCTTTGGTCTTTGATGATGGTGATGTACAGATGGGGTTTTGGTGTGGATGTCCTTTCTGTTTGTTAGTTTTCCTTCTAATAGTCAGGACCCTCAGCTGCAGGTCTGTTGGAGTTTGCTGGAGGTCCACTCCAGACCCTGTTTGCCTGTGTATCACCAGCGGAGGCTGCAGAACAGTGAATATTGCAGAACAGCGAATATTGCAGAACAGCAAATGTTGCAGCTTGATCGTTCCTCTGGAAACTTCGTCTTAGAGGGGCAACCGGCCATGTGAAGTGTCAGTTGGCCCCTACTGGGAGGTGCCTCCCAATTAGGCTACTCAGAGGTCAGGGACCCACTTGAGGAGGCAGTCTGTCCGTTCTCATTTCTCAAACTCCATGCTGGGAGAACCACTACTCTCTTCAAAGCTGTTCATACAGGGACATTTAAGTGCCTTTTGTTCAGCTATGCCCTGCCCCCAGAGGTGGAGTCTACAGAGGCAGGCAGGCCTCTTTGAGCTGCATTGGGCTCTACCCAGTTCATGCTTCCTGGCTGCTTTCTTTACCTACTGAAGCCTCAGCAATGGCGGGCGCCCCTCCCCCAGCCTATGCTGTTCTTGTATCAGAGGGAAAGAGCAGTGTCAGAACCCGGGGATAGCTCTTTGGGCTTCCACTCAGAAGTGGCCCATGTGGCTTCTGCTCACAACCAACTGGCTGCTGCAGGTCCCGTGGCCAGTCTTAATGTTAATGAAGTGGGGAGTATTAGCCTCCTAGAGTGAGGATCCCAAAGGGAAGAGCAGGGATTATGTTAAGCAAGTAATTTATCTATCACTGTATATTTTCTTAACTAGATGTTCACTTCCCTCTCCTGCACACAAAATGCCCTCCAAGAGAATTAACCCAGGAGCCGCATCCAGTCAGAGCATCATGATCAAAGTCCTGGATGGCGCGATAGTCTGGATGGAGATCCTGTGGGTCTGGATACCTATAAACTAAAAGGACAATTACCTGAATCTATGTATCCAATATACAATATACAGTGAGCAATGGGGACAGGATGGCCTTGGTAAACATTCCTTTGCAGAAAGAGGAAGCATGGGAAGAGCCAGTCCCAGGTCCATAGCAGTGGCGAAATTCCACTGGACAGACACTGTGAGGACCCTTGGTCTTGGAGTGGGGAAGTCTGCAGGTTACTCCCTGGTTCTGGTCCCTGGGTGATGCTCCCCAGCCGAGTGTCTTCCTTGGCTGTTGGCTTTGCCCTTGGGAAGTTCCTTCCTTTTGATACCTGCTTGGTGTCATATGAAGATGATACTGGAGAATAAGCTTCCTTGGGGGCAAAGCAGCTTTTTCATCCTGCCAGAGTAGGTTGGTGGCCCAGGATTGTTTTAAGTCCAACTCTAAAAAACTTCGTCAGCTTTTTATGAATTTGTTTCCAGTTGTCTCCATGTGTCAGTGGTTTGACCCATAGTTCTTTTTGAAATATGCCCCCTTCGTTAGCCTTAATTGTGGAGTTTTTGGATTTCCTTTGAAAATCCATACTTTTTTCACTCTAAACAGTTTGGTCCCACTGAAAGCCTTTACTGGGAGCCTTTTGAAATTATTGGGAGATTTACTGGGAGCCTTTTGAAATTACTCAGAGGTTTAAACCAAAGGTTTGACAACCGTATCTATGATTTGGTCCCTGATAATAGCCTGAGTTTTAATTAGTCGTTGTCATGCAGAAGCTGATGTATATTGTCTTTGGCCAGTTGGAAATGAGAACTGCTTGTCTCCAACCCTGCAAGTCCTAGCATTTCTGGACGTTTCCTATTGCCTTCCGTTTTTGTTTTGCAAACCACAAACTCTTGAGCTCATTTTTTCTTGTAATACTTTTTCAAACTCAGCCAATAAAACCAACTCACACTACTAATGTTATGTTTCCAGTCTCTTCTCATAACATCACAAGTTCATGCTTTCATTGTTCATCTTTCAAGTTACTGAAGGCAATCGTTTCACCAAACAGTTCACCACCAAATTACATGGGTTGCCACCTTGCCAATAAGTTTCCTCACTGCCTGGCCTGGACTCCAGTGTCATCTGTTTTTGGCTTTTCATTATGGCAGAACTCCACTTTGAGTACCAGTTTTTTAATGAGTCAGTATAGGCCAGTTATGCCGTGATAGCAACAGCAAACCCTCAGAGATTTATGCCATGAAGGGTTCCCTCTTGCCCATGTTACTTGACAGCCGTGGCTTTGCCCACATCTTCACTCAGAGCATTTGCCACTCTCAAGGCAGACAGGAAAGGACCACCGCAGAACCCCCACTGACTCTGAAGGCTTTTGCTCACCTGTAGCTCGTGTCTTTCACGTTCCATGTGAGAAAGCAGATGACGTCACCCCACCTGGGGCAGGAGGAGGCAGAAGCTCAATTCTTTAGGGAGGGCTAGTGGATATTTTGGACAAATAATATAACCTATCAAAAGAGGTCACTATAGTAGTGAATTTTTCATGTTTGATTATTTTGGATGATTTTTATATTATAAAATTGTTACTTCAGCTTTTCTGTGGAATCCGTATCTAAATGGGATTTGATTTCTAAACCCTTTGGGGTAAAAGTAACAGGAATTTATAGTACTTTCACCTATTCTGCTTTTTAGTGGATTGCCATACACTATAAGCCAAATGGGAGGTGTTCTAATTACTGAGATTGAAGGTGACAGGCTAGTTCTGGCCAGGACCTATGGAGTCGTTATACTTTACAAGGGTGACCTGGGGTCCAGGGTCTCATGCTCAGCTTTGTAAACTTAGGGATTGAATAATGATCAGGCTTTGGGGGAAAGGATCATGCTAGTCAGACTCACAAAACCTACTGTTTCATCATAAAGCCACTCGATTTACTTTTGCAGAACTGTGTGCTGGCAGGCAGGTGGAGGATAGATTATCATAAGCTCCAGATTACTTGATTTGGCCTTACTGTTGTTCAAATCATAGGTCACAAGTTTCAAAAACACTTTATTAGAAAACTGTTGATCCTTGTGCATTTGAGAATGCAAAGCATATTCATCATTAATTCTAATTGATTCCAATTAAATGTAACTAGATTGAGAATAAGACCTTTTGACAGATGAGGAAATGTATTACATTTACCTCTGACTAAGAAGAATGTCTCCATAGGCCTGATTCACCTGAGACACTGGTTCTATTTCCTAGCAGTTTCATGTTGATAGTGGACATTAGGTGGGACATTGGGTGGGATACCAAGTAGTAAGGATGGTACAATCCCTGGAGCAGCTTAAATATTTTTGAGATAACAAAACCCACAACTCTGTGGGCACTGGGATAGCTGGCGAGCACTGAGAATCCCCTGTTGCATGCCCTGAGGTTCTCCTTAGATGCCTGCCGGCTCTTCTCCCCCGGGCCATGAGGGTGCTCCTTCAGGGTACAGCAGGAGTGTCTTCTGTGTTTCAGAACCTGATGACATTTGAAGATGTGGCCGTGGAATTCACCCAGGGGGAGTGGGGGCAGCTGAACCCTGCTCAGAAGGACCTCTACAGGGAGGTGATGCTGGAGAACTTCAGGAATCTGGCCTTTCTGGGTGAGCACAAGGCCTCCAAAGCCCAAAGCCTGCCCACAGGACTTCTTGATTTCCTTGATGTGTAAGAGTTAGCGATGTCTGGGCCAGTTGACTGAGTCTTGCGTTGGGTTTCCTTGGGAAGTCTGGAATTAGACATTTACATTCTCTCTGGGGCCCAGTGGTACGGTATTTCTGTTCCGAGTTCTAGGAAACATCCAGCTACTTATGGAGTTGAAATAGGAAGTTACCTGGCTGTGTTCCTGATTTTTCACAATGCCTGTTCCCTGGAGGCTTTCCACACCTACAGTGTTTCTCCACCTTGAAGATGAACATCCAAAGACTTGGCCACTGGCACACGCTACCAAAATCCTTTTCCTTCTCTACCGTCAGGCCTTCCAGTATCCAGACCATATGTGATCTGCCAGTTGGAGGAAGGGGGCGAGCCCTTCATCGTGGAGAGAGAAATCTCAACAGGGGCCTACTCAGGTGAGTGAGGGAGTGAGAGCATTGCATATGCTAACGCCCAGCTGGGGTGGGAGGTAGCCCTGAGCCTTTGGTCAGGGTGCTGTCTTTTCAGAAGATGAGCTCACTTGGCAGGAGCACTCAGCTGTGGCATGTTGAAGTTTATAATTATTTCTGGTGTCAGAAGAGGAGATGTTCATTTTCTTTTCTAGGTTTTATGCTTTGTTTGGTACCCATCTCCGCCCATGCCTTCTGGGTTATTGGTGCCATGCAGCATCACGAGATGTCTCATAGTCAATGTTAGATGGATCAACAATCATATAGGGCCAGGCAGTCCTAGATCAGCAGAGTTAAGGGAGTTAGTGAGGGATCAGGCAGAAAAGTTGAGCACCCCAGAAATGAAAGGGTTACAGGCAGTGACAGACAGGAGATGTCAGAAAAATCCAGGTAAGGACACTTCAAGCTTGATTAAGCTGAGTCTCAAAAAAAAAGGGATTCCAGGAACAAAGACCACTCCCTGTCAGCTGTTGACAGCTTCCCTTTGAGACCTTGGATTCTTAGGTGACTGGAGAGTACCTGGTAGGCTGTATGCCTTGGAGCAGAATTCTTGACTCAAAGCTTTCCTGACTGCCGTGTGTGACCCAAGCACACTGGGGGCACAGGACAGTCTATGCCAGTTCATTTCCATGAGCCAGAATCTTACCCGTGGCCATAGCTGAAGCTCAGGAAAGTGGTGCTAAATTCCTGAGAGGACAGGCTGGGCTTTATGAGAGGAACCTAGGTTATGGCAGAGGGGGAAGACGCTGATCTCCTCTGTACTGGTACTTACTTGATCTTTTTTCCTTCCAAAATGAGATCAAGGGTTTGACATCTGGATCTGGTCATCTGTTTATTTAACAGTGGTGTATAAGCATGGCTGTGTTTCAGAATGTCCCAGGGAGCTTGTTACACATTCAGGTTCCCAGGAGCCACACAAGATCTACTGACTCAGAAACTCTCTGACTGGTCTCTGGGACCACTGGTTAGGCATTACCAGTCCTTTCCTTCTTCAGAAATGTGCCTGTTATTATTATTGTATTAATTTCCCACTGTGTCTGAAACAGAGTGGCACAAACTTGGTGGCTTTAAACAACACAAACTCATGTCATAGTTCACAGGTCAGAAGTCTGGCCCATGTGTCACATGGTTCCAACCATGATGCCCACAGGGCTGTGTACCTTTCTGGAGTGTCTGGGCACCTTTTTCTTTTCATTTGGGTTGTTGGCAGCACCAATACCTTGCAGTTCTAAAACTGAGGTCCTTGTTCTCTTGCTGGCTGTAAACAGATGGGTGTTCCCAGCTTCTAGAGACTCCAGATTACTTGGCTGAAAGTGTGCCTCCTCCATCTTCAAAGCCAGCAGCGGCTCACACACCTCTCCGCGCAGCCGGGAAATGCTCTCCGATTTTAAGCACGTGATTAGATTTGACCTATTTAAATAGTCCAGGAGAATCTCCCCATCTCCAGCTCTGAGCCCTTAGTCACATCTGCAGAGTCCCTCTTGTCATGTAAGGTGACCACTCACAGGTTCTTGTGCTTAGGACATGGGCATCTTTAGGGGAGAGTTTCTCTTCCTGTCATAATTATGTAGAGTGATATGATATGTGTTATATGTATATGTGCATAGTATATAATAATATAGAGTATGCACTAAGGTGTTAAAGGAATACTTTGTGGAGGACATGAGCTTGTCCCTGAAAGGTACACAAAGTCTTAAAGAAAGAGAGTAGTGAGAGGGGCAGTGGATATATGGGAAACAGGAAGGCAGCCAGTTTCTGTGCGCAAGGCACTTGCTGAAAAAGAGGACAGGGCCTGGTAAAGTATTATAGAGCTATAGTGAAAGATTAAGGGTTTATCCTGTAGGCACTGGAGAGCCTTTGGAAGATTAAGACTGGGAAGAAACTTAAGGAAATGGGCATTTGGAAAAGAAGAAAGTGAAGGGTTTCAGGAAACCTGGAGGTAGGAAGACTGGGTAGAACTCTGTTACAATTATGTAGGCCTGAAGAAATTGTGAGAATATAGAATCTGTACCTGGTGACTTATAATCCTATACTTGGTTTATTGATTTTTGTCCCCATCCCTTAAACTTAGTCTGTTTCCCTTGTCACCCTTCCTACCCTCCTCTCATCTTTGGTCTTTGGACTCACCTTGTGTACTGGAATCTAAACACAGATCTCTCAGATTTTCTTAATCTCCAGTCGTCTGCTCATCCCTTGTTCTCGATACTCCAAAACCATTTTCAGACATAAGCCATTATTGAAAAAATCTATACATCCCTTTTAGGTATTATTTTAAAGCTTAATTATTTCACATTTATTATAGGAGCTTGCTTTTCTTGATACATAGGACATTCTACATACTAGAATGCCTTCATTTTTTTTTTAAACAGACTGGGAGAGAAGGTCTAAATCCAAGGAATCAATGCCAAGTTGGGGAATTTCCAAAGAAGAATTATTCCAGGTAGTATCAGTGGAAAAACATATTCAAGATGTGCTGCAGTTCTCAAAGTTGAAAGCAGCCTGCGGTTGCGATGGCCAGTTAGAGATGCAGCAGATAAAACAGGAGACACATCTGAAACAAATGTCAACCACTCACAAATCTGCTACCACCCTTAGCAGAGATTACGAATGGAATGGATTTGGGAGAAGCTTAGGTTTAAGATCAGTCCTTGTTAACCAACACAGTGTTCTAATGGGAGAAGGGTCTTATAAATGTGACACCGAATTCAGGCAGACTCCAGAGGGAAATAACTCTCAGAGAACCCATCCAGAGAAGAGATCTTGTAAATGCAATGAATGTGGGAAGTCCTTTCACTTCCAGTCAGAACTCCGGCGCCATCAGCGATGTCACACTGGAGAAAAGCCCTATGAATGCAGTGACTGTAGAAGAGCCTTTGGTCATATTTCATCCCTTATTAAACATCAAAGAACTCATACTGGAGAAAAGCCCTATGAATGCAGTGAATGTGGGAGAGCCTTCAGCCAGAGCTCATCTCTTGTTCTGCACTATAGATTTCACACAGGAGAGAAACCCTACAGATGTAATGAGTGTGGACGAGCCTTTGGCCACACTTCCTCCCTTATTAAGCATCAGAGGACTCATACTGGAGAAAAGCCCTATGAATGCAGGGAATGTGGGAGAACCTTCAGCCAGAGCTCATCACTCATTGTGCACTACAGATTTCATACTGGAGAGAAACCTTACAAATGTAATAAATGTGGGAGAGCCTTCAGCCAGAGTTCATCTCTCACTCAACATTACAGATTTCACACTGGAGAGAAACCCTACAAATGTAATGAGTGTGGAAGGGCCTTTGCTCATACTGCATCGCTTATTAAACATCAGAGAAGTCATGCTGGAAAAAAACCCCTATGAATTCAGTGAATATAGAAGGGCTTTCAGCTGGAGTACAGATATCACCAGAACTTAAAGAATTCATATCAGAGAGCGATCCTGAAGGTGTAATGTGTATGGGAAGACCACCTCTTGTTCCACATCAGGAAATAATTACTAAAGAGAATCCCTATCAATGTCAGGAGCGGGTGGGTCTCCCCTCTTTTACCAAACACAGGAGAATCCATACTAGTGAGAAACCACGTAAATGCAATGAATGTGGAAAGGCTTCGATCAGAGGATGCATATTATTCAGCATCAGACAGCTGACACTGAGGAGGAGGCTTATCAATGCAGTGAGTGTGGCAAGCCTTCAGTTACATACTGATTCTTTAAGAAAATCAGATAACTTGTACTGGAGAGAAATTCTACAAGTGTGGTAAGTATGGAAAAATCTTTAGTTGTATCTCTTCCTTTACTAGGCACCAAGAACACATACTAGAGAGAGGCCCTATGAAAGCAGGAAATAGAAGGCCTTCAGTCAGAGCTCATCCCGTATTAAGCATCAGAAAATTCATACCTGAGAAAAGCCTGTGAATGTGGGCAATGTGGGAGCGCCTTCAGCCAAACCTCATTGCTGTATAAGCCCCTTAGAACTCTCCCTACTAGCTGGAAACTCTGGTAATGTAATGAGCGTGGGAAAGGCTTTCATGGATGTTCCACAAAAACACATTAGAGGATTTTGTACATTAGAGCATTTGTGCCAGAGCAACTCTTCAAATTTAGTGAAACTGGGAAAACCGACTAGTACAGTTCAAACCTCAGTATTCACCTCAAAGAGAGACCTTGGGAACATGATGAATGTGAGGAAAGTTCCTTTCCAACTTGAGATGTATAAAACTAGAGCTGAAAAGAAGCTGAGAAACCACCTTGTCTGGTGGTTTTCTGCCTGGTGGGGCCATTTGTATAACCACACTTGTGCGTTGCCTCCTCATGCTGTTACTGACGGGGCAGGGTGCCATGCATGGTGCAGAGGGTGGAGGCTGAGAAAGGTAGACGGCTACCCATGATCTAGCCCAGTCGTAGTTTAGAGCCAATGAAACTGATGTTCAAAAAGCGACCAGCTGGGCCTCTTTCCTGTGGTTCACAGCTGCAGCATGGAGATTAGTAGACTGGACCTTTCCAGTACAACACCTCCATGCACTGCTTTCTCTGTAGCACATGTTACCTTTCTTTGTGAGGCAATGGAGTGGTCTAGGATTGAACAAAAAGCAATTTTCATTACATCTTTATGCTAATAGATTTGGAATTTTTGAAATGAAATGAAACCTTGTTTAAACATTAAAATTACTAAAATATGGGTACATTATACACAATCCAGATCTCAAACACATGATTCTAAGTGAAAGAAGGCAGATGCCAGAGACCACACATTTTCTAGTACCATTTTAGGAAATGTCCAGAAATGGCAGATCTTCAGAAACAAAGTAACTGCAAATGTTACAAGGAATCTTTTCGGGGTGATGAAAATGTTCTAAAACTATATGGTGGTGATGGTCGAATAATTTGGTAACTTCACTAAAAATCATTGAATTGTTCACTTTATATGGGCAGATTTATGGCAAATATACTTCAATAAAATCATTTTTCAAAATCAAATTTACAGATATACCAACCATTGCTAAACAGATGTTCCTGTTTTGTTTGTTACTTCAAGCCATCTGTGCATTTTTGGTATCACTTTCTATTTTCTGTAATAGTTACCCCTGCATGTACCAGGTCTCAGAACCTTGTCAGGCTCTTCTTTAGAGTCCCTGCCATGTTGGCTCGGTAACCCAGGTGGAGAAGCCTAGACCAGGAGCTGGTGTAGACCGAAGGATACTTGCCTAATAGGATTGGCCTATACCGAGGGAAATCCTTCAAGTATTTAAAGTCCAGATGAGGAACTTGAGCCCAGAATTCAGGGAACCAGCACAAAGCGGGCCCATGCAGACAGGCTGGGTCTAAGACTCCACAAGGTTGGCCAGGGCAGGCAGGATGCACAGGGGGCATCTGGATCTGGAAGTACTTGGACAACTGAGGTCGAGATGCCAGTCTTGGAGCCCAAAAATCACACAGAAATTTCTTCCCAGACAGCCAAGGTTTACAGGAGCAGAAATAGCAAATATTTTCTTTCTCCATCTCTCCCTTTTTTCCCAGTGCCCTTTTCTGTACCTACCCAGATCGCTTTATACCTGGACATCTGTCACAATTTTGTAACTGGTCTTTGTCCAAAATCTGTCTCTTCTTCTCTTGTATCCTTGCCATGTTAACCATACTCACCAGTTTGAACCCAGTGTCCTGCCCTCCAAAAATCCTTTGCCCTTCCTGCAAGATAAATCCTCACCCCCGTGTGTGGTATACAATGTCCTCTTTAGGCTGCCCCAACCTGCTGCTGCTCCTGACAAGAGCCTCCGTTGCGCACAAACGCTCGCTTATCGTCCCTCAGACATGCTTTTCTACTTCTCCGCCTGTAAACCTTTACCTTAGCTGTTCCATCGGCCTGGGGCACCTTTTCTACCTACCTGAAGCCTACGTAATCAGTCAGAAACCCGTGTAAGTTTCCCTTCCTCGGAGAGGTGTTCTGTTGAAAACTGATATGAAGTCATATCTTACCATCTGTAATCATAAACATTTGTTTGCATAAGTTTTTTAAAAATGGATGATATCGGCCGGGCGCGGTGGCTCAAGCCTGTAATCCCAGCACTTTGGGAGGCCGAGACGGGCGGATCACGAGGTCAGGAGATCGAGACCATCCTGGCTAACCCGGTGAAACCCCGTCTCTACTAAAAAAATACAAAAAACTAGCCGGGCGAGGTGGCGGGCGCCTGTAGTCCCAGCTACTCGGGAGGCTGAGGCAGGAGAATGGCGTGAACCCGGGAGGCGGAGCTTGCAGTGAGCAGAGATCCGGCCACTGCACTCCAGCCTGGGCGACAGAGCGAGAAAACTCCGTCTCAAAAAAAAAAAAAAAAAAAAAAAAATGGATGATATCGAGACTTGTGGTAAATCTTATCACCGACTTGATCTATTTAAATAATTTTTATCACTTTACCACTTTCTTATTTCCTGAACCAGCTGACAACAGAAAAAGTCGAATGGTAAAATATTTTAAGAGATTTGTTCTGAGACAAATATGAGTGACCTGTAGGCATAGTTGACCAACATTTTGCCTTAAAACAGAGACGTTAAGACGAACAAAAACAGACTCTTTGTAGCAATAACAACATGACAGTAAGTCCTGAGAGAAATCAAAGTGTTTCACTCCAAAATAGATTTAAGTCTGATAAGAAACAAGTCTGACAGAGCCCCAGGAGATCCTGAGAACATGTGCCCAAAGTGGCTCTTGTCAGGAGCAGCAGCAGGTTGGGGCAGCCTAAAGAGGACATTGTATACCACACACGGGGGTGAGGATTTATCTTGCAGGAAGGGCAAAGGATTTTTGGAGGGCAGGACACTGGGTTCAAACTGGTGAGTATGGTTAACATGGCAAGGATATGTGAGAAGAAGAGACAGTTGTGCTGTCAGGCTACAGCTTGGTTTCATGCATCTTTACATTTTAGGGGAATGTCAGACATCGATACGTGTAAGATTTACATTGGTTCGATAGAGAAAGGCAGGACAACTTGAAGCTGGTGGGGGAGGGACAGGGACAGAGGGAGGGCCTTCTAGGTTATAGGTGGATTCAAAGATTTTCTGATTGGCCATGGGTTTGTCCAAAGACCTGGAATCAATAGAAGGGAATGTCTGGGTTAAGATAAGGTGTTGTGCAGACCAAGGTTCTTACTAGGAGATGAAGCCAGAAGGTAGCAGGCTTCAGAGAGAGTAGATTGTAAATGCTTCTTATCAGACTTAAGAGAAATTTATTTTAGGGTAAAATACTTAGATTTCTCTCAGGGCCTGTTATCTGTCATGTTACCTTATTGTTACAAAGAGTCTGTTTTTGTCAGCCTTAAGGTCTCTGTTTTAACGTTAATGCTGGTCCACTGTGCCTGAATGAGAGGAAGGTATAATGAGGTATGTCTGACCACCCATTCCCGTCATGGCCTGAACTAGTGTTTCAGGTTTACTTTAGAATGCTCTTGGCCAAGCAGAAGGGTCCATTCAGTTGGTTGTGTGCTTAGAATTTTATTTTTGACTTACGCAGACTGTCAGCTGCTTCGTGTCACATCTCACACCTCTCTTGTGTTACCCAGTTTTCTCAGTGCTTCCAACTGCATGCATTTGTACTCGATGAAAAGCCTTCTTTCTAGAAAACTACCAGTTAAATATTTCTTTAGAAAAATGTAATATTGCTTACTGTAGTTATTTTTCAAATGCAAATATAGATCAGCACTGATCCATCTTCTAGGGATAGGTTGGGGTGTGTGTGTAGCAGGGGGGCTTACATAGAAATTCAGTGTTATTTTGTAGCAATGTGATGACTTCTGATACCAATTACCCAGAGTTAAGCCAAATTTCATGTGTTAAGGACACAGTAGCCCACAAGACTGCCCTCACTTCAGACACCAGCCACAAATCTGGGAGTTCCCAGGCTACCTTTACTTATAACCAATTGGCTACAAATTCAGGAATTCCCCTAACCCCTGCAGGTTGATAACTTTCTAGAATGAATATCAACTCAGGAGAGTTCTGTATTTATGATGACAATTATAGAAAACGGATATGAATCAGAACCAGCCCAAGGATGAGATGCATAGGGAAGAGTATGGGAGTACCCCAAATGCAAAGCTTCTGTCTCCCCTGCAGCATGTTACCCTGCTGGCACACTGATGTGTGACAATGCACAGAGAAATGCCTACCATGGAAGCTCACCTGAGCTTTGGTGTCCAGAGTTTTTATTGGGGTTTCATTACATATTCATGAATGATTGAATCATTGACCTCACAGTGGAACTCAAATCACCAGCTCCCCCTCCTCTCCCTAGGGGTGTGGCTGATACTACATGGCTCAAAGCCCCAACTCTAATTACATGCTTGGTATTTCTGGCATGACCAGCAGCCATCGTAGCCATCCTGTTAGCTCATTAGCATAAAGTAGAGGCCAACCGTGAGTCACCTCTTTAGCATAAACTATCAGAAAATGCGGGAGTCTGTCCTGCAGACCCTGACCCAACAATGGATGGATAAAGTCCACTGACACACAGACGTTCTGCTTTGCCAGTCCAGCTGAGTGTCCAGGCTGCTTACAGACTCCAAGCAGAGTGCTGTCAACGGTTGGGACTGCTGCCCTGGCCAGCCAGTGAGACTTGCATTTATTCAGTAAAGATTAATTGACAGAGGCTTGAGTCAACACCACTAGATGGTAATTGACGTTGTGGACTTCCCAAGTAGAAAGCAGTTAAGCACCTGCTGTACATCAAAGGTTAGTCTTAGGACCACATGAGTAAACAAACTAGTTAGGTAAACTCCCCACATTCCTTTGTTTCTACTCTAATTTATTTAAGAGGACAAGGCTGCCTTCAGCCAAGTTTATTACTTGAGCAAACCCTCCAGGCTTTCCAAGAAGGTTTGCGTCATATAATTTTCCCCACCATCCTGACTGAACCCCCACAAGATGTGGCCCACCGTGAATAGTAAAAGGTACTTCTATTGCTCAGGAAATTCCAGTGATCTAGAGGTGATTTCCTAGGAACTAGGGACAAAGTCCAGCCAAGTTCTTTATTTTTATTTTATTTTATTTTATTTTATTTTATTTTATTTTATTTTATTTTATTTTATTTTATTTATTTTGGACAGAGTTCCTCTTGTTGCCCAGGATGGAGTGCAATGGTGCGATCTTGGCTCACTGCAACCTCTGCCCCAGGTTCAAGCAATTCTCCTGCCTCAGCCTTCTGAGTAGCTGGGATTACAGGCATGTGCCACCATGCCCGGCTAGTCCTTGTGTTTTTAATAGAGCGGGTTTCTCCGTATTGGTCAGGCTGGTCTTGAACTCCTGACCTCAGGTGATCCACTCGCCTCGGCCTCCCAAAGTGCTGGGATTACAGGTGTGAGCCACAGCGCCCGGCCAAGTTCTTTGTTACACAAGCACACAACCTCAAACAAATCAATATGAAAATGATTCAGTGTATTCAAATAAACAAGTCACAAACACTAAGACTGTCAAGGACTTCCTTTTTGATGATTCTCTTTATTGAGAAAGATTGACCAGTTCAGAGAAGGCACAGCATCCAGACCTTCACCACTTGGAGATTGTTTCGTTGTCTCTGTAGTAAATTGTGCAGAATATCTTCTTGATCTTTTCTTGTGTCATTATGGCAATGCGACCCTGATAAAGAGAGCAGTTGTACAGAAGCACTGAGCAAAGAAGTGCTTTCTTTAAGGTGATGTATAGCTTATTCTACCATGTCTGTGTCATTAATCCAAGTAGAGAAAGCAGTAATAGCAATGACACAGATGCTACCTTGATTAGCCAATGGGCAATCCTGGCACTGCAATCGTCCATCACAACTTGTGCAGTGAACCCAGAGACAGATCTGTATTCCATCTGAGAAAGAGGTCATTATCATTCATACATTCTGCCAGAGGTAACCCAATAGGTCTTTTTCAGTCTTTTATTTCCACCACCATTGGAACACTGCTCTGTTCACATAAACAGTAAGTAAGCAATTCCTCAAGTAGAGTGCCTGAATAATCACGAGGGATCTCATT